TCAAACAGACCATAAAGCAGGGGATGCTTTAGGGGCGGGGCTACACGCTGATTGACAGGTCTCTACCAGAGTACACTTCTTGTACTACTTCTTCATAACATGTTCTCTTGTTATTATGTGACTTGTAGGGGGAAAATCTAAACACACCGGCCCGCAGTTCTTCCTTCAGGGCCAACAGCAAGGGCCCCGCCACACCCAAACGGTACGAAACACACACACACACACACACACACACACACACACACACACACACACACACACACTCACTCACGGATTACAGTCACACTGACCCAACGTGGTTCTGCTGTTTTTTTAGGGTGAGGTCTAACAGGAGTCGCGCCCAGTCGCCCTGCTCCCCCTGCCATTACCCCCCCTCCCCACTGCGGCAGAGGGCCGCCACCACCCCCGGCACCGACGACAGGGCTCACCCCGAGGTCAAAGGTCACAGCACCCTGGAGAGGAAATCCACCAAATCTGAGACCTCGGAGAAAAGGATCCCAAAATCCACCAGCAAAGAGCTGAACGCAGGTAGACGGGCGGTGTGTGTGTTCCTCTCCTGCACCAAGCTAAAGGAGGACGAGTGTTCCAGTGAGGACGCTCAGAGGGGCGTTCACTGACCTGGTTTATGTCAGAGAGCTAAACGTTAGAATCTCTTCAGCTTATTTATTTTTTGATAAGTCACGCTTCTCCTCCGTCTTCGTCTCGACCTCACAGAGTCTCCGGGAACGCCGACGGGCCGGAGCGTCGGTGGGACGACGGACGCCGAGGAGGCGTCCAGGCTGCTGGCTGAGAGACGCCGACTGGCCCGAATACAGAAGGAGCAGGAGGAGAGACAGCGGCAGGAGGACGAGAGGTGGGCGTACTTCTACATTTGAATAATCGATATAATAGTTTCTTTGTCTTTTGTGAGCGTAAACTTAATATCTTAATATTTATGGGAAGATAATTTGCAGATTAATCGATAAATAATCCTTACTTCCAGCTGTGTTATGCATGTTTACATGTATATTTATGTGTACAGCTCGTGTTTTAAAGTATTTAAGTTATCATTCTGGTACGAATCTCACTGTTAATAAAATGTCAGGATTTACAGTTTCACACGTACGATATCTGTGTTAGACGAGGACCGATGTCGTCTCCCATCATGTAACATTTAACAGCACTTTTGTCCAAAATACTAACAATCTGATGAACGTCACAAACACCAGAAACACATTTAAAACCAGCAGCTGAGTCCAGAATCGGAGAGAAAACAGTGATTATTCTCTAGTTGGTGCTAGCGTTGTACGGTGGCCCGCACAGCTCAAACCTTGCTGTGTTCCCTCCAGGCTGAGGGCCGAGGAGGAGCAGAGGAGGCAGCAGGAGGCCAAAGGGAGGCAGGAGAGAGACGCTCTGCAGGCCGAGGAGGAGAGAGTGAGGAGGGAGGAGGAGAGGAGGAACAAGGAGGACGAGGAGAGACGGCAGAAGGAGCAGAGATGGAAGGACATGCAGGATCAGCTGGACAGAGAGGTCAGCCCACAGACATGTGTTGTAATGTATTTCTTTATGTACTGCTGTATTGTTTTGTCCACTCATATGTAGAGAGAGGATGTGATTGAGTGCTGCTGGGTGTGTTTCAGAGGGAGGAGGCCTGCCTGCGAGCCCAGAGAGAGGCCGAGAGGAAGAGGCAGGAGAGAGAGCTGCTGCACATCCAGGAGGAGCAGGAGAGGCTGCAGAGGAAGAAGGTATCAAGAGATACACACACACATGTATGTCAATATTAAACCTGGTGAAGGAGGAGAACATGTTGAAACAATTAATTCAATTCTTGTGTCTGTTATTTACAGAGAATTGAGGAGATCATGAAGAGAACGAGGAAGAATGAAGCGGAGCCTCTGTCTGGTGCTGCAGGTGAATGTTGAATACATCTCCTTTATTTACTGACAGAATGTGAAGAACTCAGGGAGAGAAAAGGTTCAAACTTTCTGTTTATGAATGAAACGTTTGACATATAAAATGTTGTTTAAGCGCGCCATCATCTGGATTTACATATAAGATGATCTCTTTAAGGTTAAAAGGACTAATAACACCCTCCTAGAGACTAACAAGCTCCCTGATATATTGATTTATTTTGTCTTTATTTATTGTTCTGTTGCTCATTTCAAGACTCATTCAATCCATCTTCACCACGTGTTGTTGTTGTTTTAATTGGATGTGAACTTTTCTTCCATAATTAGCATGATTTGTTTTCTCTTTAATGAAAGCGCCTCAGGTGCAGTGTGAGTCAGCAGTGTTACACAGGCGGGAGGACAGCGCCTCCTGGTGCTTTAAAGGAGAGCCACACCGAGCACACAGCAGCAGGAGTAAACTCTCTGAACCCCAAAGAGGCTTCACGCTGCAGCTGCTTGTTATCAGCTCAGAGCTGGACAGACTCATCAAACCGGACAAATAAATAATCAAGAAAGAAAATGTCTCAACAACGAAACTGCTGCTTCACTTGTTTTATTGAATCTGTGACGAACAAGCAGCCAGTTACTGACTGCGCATAACATCAGAATATATCATTCATCACTTCAACTGTAGTTTTGAGTTTGATTGCTCTTTTATTTTATATATCTCTTATTATTTATCTCTTCTCTATTTGTCCGTACTTGTTTCTGTCCTTCTTTAGGAAGCTTCTCGTGTCAGAGATGCCTGAATCAGGCCTTCTACGTCTCCTCTCTAATAACGTTCCACCGTTTAATCTTCCCAGAGAAGCGTGACTTTTTAAAGGACACTGTGTGTTTGCAGCGTCTGACTTGAGGCCGGAGGCGGCGGTCCCGTCGGAGGAGGACGTCCCGACTCCAGCCGAAGCCCCCGTCATCATGCTGGGACCCCTGGAGAATAAGGGCTTTGTGGAGGAGCTGTCTGACGGAGTCCAGTCCATGGACGTCAGGTGAGACGTCTTCGTTTGTCTCTGCTTGTCCCACCTGTCTTCCTAGGTGTCGTCTACGTCTGCATTGAGGTGACTCCCCACGTACCAATCAGACTTTCTTTATCCAGTCTCGCATTTCATTGTCATCACATGCTGCTCGTCCAAACCAGACTGACTGTAAGAAGTGGTCGCAGTCATCGTGACGTCACTCGTTGGTTTGTGGATGTTTTTGAAGCCTCGAGTTCGGCGATTTCGCCGTCGCCATCTTTACGGCTGTCAGCATATTGGGCTTTTTTTGCAACCAGTGAACAGGAAGTGACCATATGTGGATTGAGGAGGAGTGACGTAGAGACGCCGTATACGTCTCTGGTAGAGACC